ACCAGGCATGGACATTACCCCCATGGGCATACAGATTGGCTTTTTTTGTGTGTTATTTTGAGACAGGGTCTCACTATGTAGTTTAGGCTGGCCTCAAACTCGAGGTGATCCTCCTGCCTCAGTCTCTCGAGTGCTGGTGCAGACTGGTCTTATCAAATTCACGTTCATCATCACTGGAACGTTATGTTCTCCACAGCATTTCATGGAGTATTCTTATTTTTTTCCAGGTTGTAAATATTTATAGTTCTCTCACCCACATATTTGTACAGTGTTGTCTGATATATTAATGAGCTTTAATTTGTATCTGTGGGATTATTATTTGTATGGAATGTAATGTGGATAAGGACAGAACTGAAGAAATAAGTCCATCTTGAAAATAGAGCATATGTCTTGACAGCAGAGATTTTTCACTCCTTCCACTATGCTTCCCAAGGAATGCATACATGGGGGTCCCATCGATGCAGTGCCCTCTTCCCTGAGGAGGGATTCTTCCCCAGGGTTAGTGAGAGGAACAGTTACCTTCTTCCCAAGAAATCAGCTTGTTTTCATCTCTCCATCCAGAGACTGCCTTCTGATGCAGAACCAGGCCAGAGACCCCTGCATGCAGCCATATTCTCCTTTTCTATCCTATTTTTCACTCATTTTCTTGCTTCTAGTTTACTTTGACATATCTATATTTTGGGGCTACCTTGACTAGTCTGAGACAGGTGAACTAGAAGCTAATGAGTGGTCAGACATTTAAGCAAGAATTCTAAGAGAAAAAAAAAAAAACCCACCTGGGACTAAAATAGAAGACATTTCAGGAAAGACAAAATATTTTTTAAAAGAAAAACTACCAGCTAGGAAGTGTCCTGAGGTGGACACTCAGGAGCAGTTTGGGTCCAATCTACAGAAATCAACATGGGCTGAGGACCGCCCCCCAAGATCTCAGAGGCACGTTCAGCTCAGCTGGGAGGATGGTGTGGGAAGGCACCAGCCTGGCAGGCAGGAGCTGCCACACCCAAGGTAAGAGCAGTAAGATACTCCGAGAAATTTAAGGGTGAGTAAGGAACAGCAGTACAACTGCACTGAGGTTGGTGGTGGAGGGTGAGTCAAGGAGTGAGTATTTCAGGCTCTGTGGCCCATAGTGCTTGCTGCCAACAGGACTCTGCTCTTGCAGGGTAAAGGCAGCTACAGACAATTTGCAGAGGAATAGGTGTGGCTGGCATCCGATGAAACATTATTTGGACGCTTGTCGTTTTCACATGGTATTAGATATTATTTTTTTCAATGATTTAAAGATACCAACACCCCCCAGCCCCTCCACTAGTAGGTAACAGCACAGGCTGTGGGTGGGATCTGGCGGTGGGCTCCTCTGAGGAAGAGACCACTGAAACCCTAATGAGAAGAAGAACACAGTAAAGGGGACCTGGAGAGCAGGAGAGGCTGGGGGACAGAGGGGTTTGCAGGGCCAGCAGAATATAAGAGGAAGCTGCACTCCAGGATCATGGAGCAACCAGAGGGAACAGGGATTCAAGGGACTGAATGGCAGGAAATAAATTATATACTCAGAAACGGATAATAAGAAAATGATCAATCATGGTCTGGAAGTGATTTCCAGTAAAATTCAAAAGCATATTATGGGCCAGGCATGGGTAATCATTAGGGGCAGTGGGGTTTACCAAGAACACGCCACATTAACACTGGGTCTGTATTTTTCTTATTACAAAAGCAACACGTGCTATTACAGAAAAATGAGAAATGGCAAGGAAGCCAAAGAGGAAAAGAGGATTGGAAAGTCCAGGGGGAACCACTGTAAACACCTTGGTGTGGACCTTTCCAGACTTGAGATATATGCATATATTTTAAATGAGATTGCATTGAACATTCTTGTTTGTCAGCTGTTTTTTTTCTCCACCTACCGATATTCATATGCGTCTTTCTATCTAAATCATCATCTTTTTGGGTAGCTGAAAAGTCAAGGCCACTGGATGGATATTTCATAATTTAACCATTTGTCTTTCTTTTGGACATTTAAGATATATCCACCTCCACCTGTTTTGAAGTATTATTTTGAAAAAGTCACAGTGTTTATCCTGTGGACAAATCTTTTTGCACACCTGTAAGTATTTTTTCTAGAAGAGGAGGTGTAGGCCGGGGATTTAGCTCAGTGGTTCCAGCACCTGCCTCGAAAGTGAAAGGTCCCAAGTTCGATCTCTGGTACCAAAAAAAAAAAAAAAAATAGAAGGGGCGGTATAAGAATCAAAGGTCTGCCTTGTGGCCATTCTGATTAGCGTACAAGATGGCATAGCGGCGGCATCAGCTTCTCAGTCAGGATTTTAGCATTAACCCAGTGAAAGCTCCTTATTCTGATAGAAGTATCTGCTGGACTATGTAGAACAGTTAGCAAATTTGCCCAGTTGAGTGCACAGTCCACAAATAGTGGGTACATATGAATATAGAGGAAGACAGAGCCCAGCTTGCTAAGGGACGATCTCAAGGAAACAGCATGGGCTGGCTGGAGGTGGTAACCCCAGACACTGGAAGCCTTCAAGTGGCAAATCGGAGTTATAGGAAATCCCTGTGCAAGGCAGATGCTGGGCTAAATACTTTCCTGCCTTCTCTAACCCTTTCATTTGCATCTCTGAGTGCTAGGGGCAGATTGCGTGTTGTTCTTATCAGGACCTCTAGCAACTCTGAGCAGTGGCTCTCCCTTTGCAGGTGTGGTGGAGGTAAACTGTCACCATGGAATGACCAGGGAAAGGGGTCCACTGACAGGCATGCCACTGAACACTTAAAAGCAAATAACCATACACATGCACTGAATATGGGCAGTTTTCCACATCTCTAATGACATTGTTTTGAAACCCATTTGAAGGGACTGCAAACTCAGGGAGCAGGAATCAGATATCTTTAGCATTTGCACCAAAGACTTAGTACAAGAAGTGTGTATTGAACAAGTGCCAGGGTCGGTTCAGAAAATGACCATTTTGACGATTTATTTCATTATCAGCAGAACTCCAGCTATCAAGGTGTGGATGTAGGGCAGGTCTGGGTCCCTGGGCACACTTTGCCTTAACTTTTTTTGGAATAAACCAATGGAAACCCTAACTTTGCAGCACCTCACTGAGATGTGCCACTTGGTGGCAAATACTGTTCATGTGGGAGTGAGAGGGTGGTTTCTGCTCCTGCCTAGCCAGAACGACATGCGGGCAGGCTGCCAGCAGGGGGGTGGTAGGAAGGGTCGGCAGGCTTCCCAGTTGCACCCTTGTTGCCCAGTGCTGAGCTTGCAGGGCTTACGGAGCCAGTGGGTCCTATGGGATATTTCTGGCAGCATCACAACTAAACAGTCTCAGACCCTGGAACAGCAATATGGTGTCTGCAGCCGCTGAGGAGGCCTGGGCTGCCTGCCACTGTGGGCTGGAGCCTCAGCTACTTCTGGAAGATAAAACCCCACTGACTGCCACTTCCATAAGTGTAACAGGAAGTTTCTGAATGGATTCCCCTGTGTCTTGAGGCTGTTACCTTGGTATTGCTAAACTAACAGCCGAAATGAACCCAGACAACACCTCATCAAAGCCACGGAGCGAGGAAGCAGAGGTCCACAGGCAGACGGCCACATTCCTGCCAGACTAGAGATTTCTTTTGCTGTGGTCCCTTTGCTGCAGAAATGCCACAGCTGGGAAAGCCATCAGAGACTTCAGGGACAGTGGGTGTAGCCCGACACTGTGCAGGCAAGAGATTTGCAAGCTGCAGGGGAAAAGTCATCTGTTTGATGGAGCTGTCCTTGTGTGTATTCTGACCAGGGCTGCCCGGCTGGATTTCAGGGCCTGTTATGCGCCACCCTGCCACTAAGCATCTGGGGAAATATTCAGCTTTTCTACAAAATAGGTCATCTTTCCACACTTGTTACGCTCCCTGTCGACTCTGCTGAAATAGCCACAGTACAAAAGAAATTCTCCCTGGAGATGCTTTTCTTAGACAAACACGCCTCCTTTCCCCTTGGCTCCTGGAGCGGAGCCAGGGATGGGGACTTAAGAACACCCTTGTTCCTCCCCTTCCCAGCAGGAATGTCACCCAGAAATGGAACAACTGGCTTTTGCTTATACTTCCAAACCTATTAGGGAGTGATCATAACGAGAGAAACTAATACTGACAAGAATTATGCCATTGTTCTATTTCATCTATTTAGTAACCTGAAGTTGCAATTTTTAGAAAAAAGATTACCTTTTAAATAACCGATTCATTATGGTACATGAATGAATGCCATGTTCCCATGTTCAGAATGTCACTCACCATTAAGGGCGTGCGCTGGTAAGTGGCACCGATTTGCCACTTCCCCCTTATATACAAATGTCCCTGCCTGGCGGCCCAGGATAATCAGAGGTGAGTTTGTGGGTTTCCCCAGCTCTTAGCAAGTCACCTGCGCTGCCAAGCACCTAATGAATCTCAATTCTGTAATAAGGCTGGTAAGTTTTCCCCTCCCTGGGTGAAGGTGAAAGGGAAACAAGGGCTGATGAAGTTCCTGCCAATGGAACACTATCAATTTCAAGGCCAAGTTCAGAAATCACAGACTCATACTCTGGGCGTGTGAGGGGGGACCACAGTGCGCCCTCTGGCCACAGCCTGGCTATGAGAAATTAGAGGTGAGGACAGACCCAGATCCGGGAGGGCGAGCTGGCCCGGCTGAGCTTGGTGCTGCTCTGGGTCCCCCAGGGAGACCTGCCCCGGGTCTGGCAGGTGAGCGATGTGGGGAGTATTCTCTGGAAACCTCCCTTCAAGCCTGTGAAACGCACACCTTGTTTTACATCATTAGTTTCAAAACATGCTGAGTATTTGGCCTTTCTCTAAGTCCTGTGGGGACACAAAGGAAAGGGAAGGCCCAGTTCCTGCAGAGATGGGACCAGGCCTCTTGCAGAGAGAAAGGGAGGCGAGACAGACTGGTGGCCCTAGGAGACGGCATGGAGGAGGCGGCACCCAGCACAGAACCAGCAGCTGGCCACAGCAGGGGCCCCGCATACCTGATATGGCATACAAATTGGAGTGCTGGTACTCGTAGTCCGTCCGGGTGCTGTTCCTGCCTCGGAAGGTGGCAGGGAGTGTCAGAGAGATGTGCCTGGGAAAGAGACAGAGCAGAGAAAGGTGGTTACAAGGAGCCTCTCCCAAGGCTTGGAAAACACCAGACACCATCAAGAGCCAAACTGCGGCACAGACCAGAGAGCGGTGCTCCTGGCCACCTTCCACCTTCACTTCCTCACCAGCCTCGGGGACTCCTAGGAATCCAGAAGCTTCCAGACATCAACAGCCACTGCTGTCCATATTGGAGAGGAATCCAAGAAAAGGAAAAGGTTGCCCAAGCCTCCTAACATGTCCAAGTGTGGACCCAGAACCCACCTACTTGGCAACCCGTAGTGCTGGGACCAGACACCAGGCTCCAAGCTCGAGCCTTACTTGTTCTGTTAGCCATCCGATGGCTCCTGCACCTGCTGCAGGGCACAGGAAGCACTTGGAAAATGGAGGGGTTGGGTATTATTAGCAGGAGAGCCCAAGTAACTAGCGACCTCTGTAAATCAGGATAGCACAGACACTGCTGTTTCCATGTGACCCCTCTGGGCAGAGCAGGCAATAGGTGCTCAGGAAAGCACCTTCGATGGGTCTCAATGCTGTCTTTTATGGTTTGGAAGTTGGCCATGAAAACCACGTCATGAGCACACAGTATGAGTACTTAGTTCACAGGTGTGGACATCAGCTGCCTTTAGTGAATGGGGAAAAATAATTATAATAATAGAAAAATACTCAAAACCCAAACCTCTGGGAGGGGGTACTTGGAAGCAGCTCAGTAGCTATGCTTTGGCCACCCCTAGCCATTTCCAGAAGGGAAGAGACTGGAGGGAGCAGTTATGACACAAGGAAAGCTGAAAGTAACACAGTGCCTTTTTCACATGACACATGCGTGACCTTCTAGGATGACTGTGTGTCTGAGGACTCCGGGAGGAAAAGGCTCAGGCAGGGCTGTGTCCACTGGGCCAGGATTGAGCCCCCTAGGCAGGAGCCTCACAGGAACAAGGTGAGCATGGAGGGCTGCATTTGTGGGGACGACTGTACCATGGGGCTGCGGGCTGCACCGAGCAGAGGCTCTGACAAGGGCCGACCATGTGCCCAGGCTGCAGGGAACCAGTGGGCACCTGCACACAGAGATACATCACCCCCTGGCACTCAAGGGCACAGAGGAAGGTGCACTCCTGGGTGTCACTGATGTTGCCTATGAAGATGGCAGTGGCTCCTCAGGAGCTCTTAGGCTGTGGGACAAACTGCTCTGCTGTGTGGCAGGTGCTAGGAGAAAAGGGAAACCTGGGTGCCGGTGAGCATGGAAGGAAGGGTCAGCATGTTCTGTGGGAGAGGAAAGGCTTCCTGACACCTCAGATGCAGAAGGGGTGGCAGGCAGTCAGGACAGTCAATGCTGTGGTACGGATGGATTTAGGGCCCCGTGACCCAGGCACCTTCAAAGAGGCCCACCTCTGAACACATGAGGTTTGGGGACATTGGAGATCTAAACCATAATGCCATCCTACTCATCATGGCAGAGACAAAGACCCCGGTTCGCAGGGATCACTGACAATACAGACACACAGGCTGGCCCTGGGGAGATGTCCACATCTCACAGGCTGCAAGGCAGCCCGAAAGAGGGCTGGGTGGGACCCTGAGAGGGTCAAAACTGCCGTAGGGGTTTTGAGCCATAGATCAATGCCTCAGACTGCAGCACCCACCAACGGAGCTGAGCAAACAGAGGAATGAATTATGGCCTGTGGTTCTGGCTGAGCACAGTTGAATGGTGACAGGTGACTCTGCAGAGAGCATGGCCAGGCGGCAGGCCTAGGGATATGGGGATGGCATGCAGCCTCTGTGGCTCCTTCCTCGAGGTGGCCCTGTGGGCTAGCTGCAGGGCAGCTGCTCAATGTGCAGGGCCTGGTGCAAGATGAGAACACAGTATCTGCTCCATCTCGGATGAGTTTCAAGATGCCAATGGTGGAGTGAACCCCGCACGGGGCCCTTATGAGTGACAGCAGCTCACTTCTTGATGCTGCCTGTGGCAGGAACTGCTGTGGTCCCCACCACACCAGTGGTAGGAAAAGGGCTGAAGAACTGTGCTTTAGGGCTTCTAGATGCTAAGATTTCTAAGCCTTAAAAGCCCTAAAAAGGTACCTCTGACCTACCCATGGGCCCATGGCCACCCATGTGCTGTAGTGGGCTTCACAGAACTTGGGAAGACAAGGGGAGAAGAGGCAGGAAACAGGGCCAGCACAGCCACAGGGTCAAACACACACAGACACAGATCTGCGGGAATGCAACAGGACATGAAGACATCCACGGAATCACACCGAGACCACTTCCAAGTATAGCTTGTGTGGAAACAGGACGAAGCCAGTGCTGGGAGGGCAGGGAGGGCAGAGCTCTCGGGAAGGCTGGGCAGGAAACCGAGGACAGCAGGGGAGTCCAAGGCACCCAGGGAGGGTTGGCTTGCAGTCTGGGTTCTGGGGACATCTCCTGGAGGTTTGGGGGAAATTCTGCAGCACACAGGACTTAAAAAGAGATGTCTGGGAACTAGAGACATCAGATGGCCGGGCTCTTCAGCTGCCCCATCCAACAAGGAACTCCTAGAATTCTTGCCTCTGGCGGCCAGGGGGTGAGCAGGGCTGACCCCACCCTTCACTGCTCCCTGCTTCGGCCTCTTCTCTTCCTTCTTGGGCCCTTCCTCGTCCTCCCCTCTTCCAAATCCTGTTGTTTGCAAAGTCCTAGTGTAGCTCCCTACTCAAACCATGCACTTCCTCCTAGTAGCCCAGTTCATACCCACTTCCCTGGTTCCAGCCAGCCATACGTACGGCCTATCTCCTCAGACCTCTTGTTGCTGCTTACTTGAAAGCTTTGGGAATCTCTGACGAGGACTCATTTTTTTCATGTTTCTGCCTGATTCTTTATCAATATGCTGTTCCCTCATCCTAGAATCTCTATTCTTCCTCATATTCTTTCCAAACTTCTATTCATCCTTCAAGACCCCAGCCCATCATTTACTCTTTGGTAGAACCTTTCCCGGGCTTGTCCCAGGCTGGAATGGGTGCCTATGTGTCCCCTCTCATGACTGTAACCTCCTCAACAGCAGGGCCAAATCTCACCAATTTTATACTCTACTTTCTAGGACAATTTCTGCCATAGACAATAGACAATTACTGAACATTTGTTGACCAAATCAAAGGTTGAATTTCATGCACTAAAATCCCAGGGTCTTTCTGTAGCACGAGCAGCTGCAGAGCCTACTGTTTCATTTCTCTGTGTTGTATCTGCCTAAGTGGACTCAAGGATCTCTGTATTATACACAGGTCCTACCCTTCTTAGCTATGGAGGGAAACAGATGTGGTGTACAAAGAAATCAATGGCAAGGGCCGGGGATTTAGCTCAGTGGTTCTGCCACCCGCCTCGCAAATACAAGGACCCGAGTTCGATTCCCGGTACAAAAAAAAAAAAAAAAGAAATCAATGGCAATCAGTGGTGACAACCAGGAATTTGCAAGAGGGGAAAAAAGAAAAAAAAAAAGAAAAAGAGAGCTTTTCTGTTTGTATACAATGGACAGAGTGTGGGTCACAGGGCCATATGAAGTGGAGAGACAATTCAAGCAGCAGGCCTGACTATCTCTTTCACAGAGCAGCTGCCCAACAGAACTGCTGAACTGAAATCGAGTTACCAAAATCCCCAGCTCCAGTTCAGAACAGGCTCCAGAGCAGGGGGGCGTGGCAGGGGGAAGCCTGAGACAGTTTTAGAGGAGAACGGTTCCTCCCCACTCTGCAAATAGCTTTTTCCTCTCATCCTCTCCCTGGACAGAGGAAGCAAGGATGTGGAGACAGGAGGGTGGAAAGGCACACTGGGGCCTCCTGTCACTGAGAATGAAAAGCGTGGCTGAGGAGACCAATCAGCTCTGCTCGAACAGGACAGAGAAGCCACCTGCTGCAGGAGCAGGGACCCAGAGAAGCTCTGGTGTTGGGTCAGTCTTGAAGGTACAACAGAGGACAGAAGGGCTCTGTGATCGGCTGGGTTCAGGGCACCAGGAGACTCATCCTCATGTCCAGTGGGCCCAGCTGCTGGGGACTGGGCTGGCTCCTACACATACATCGTCTGCCTTAATCCTCTTGACAGTCTTTCCAGGTAGGAATAATAACCCTCACCTAGCACAGCAAGAAACTGAGGCTCTCAGAGGCAAAGCTGATAAGAAATCTGGGGATTCAAGGAAAGGCTGGCCCATGTGTCCTCTGGAGGTTATTATCATTATTACGACTGTAAAGTTAACCCGTGTCACCTTGCCCATTGGTATGGAGAGTGAGTTCCCCTCCACCAGGGCTGCAGGGTCCATTCTGAAGACCACTTGGAGCCGATGACGCGAGGGACTCAACTCCTCTGCCACTTCCTGGCCATATACACAGATGGCCACTCAGGGAGGCAGAGCAGTCACAGTGGTCAGCCATTGGATGTAGGTACAAATCCCAGCACTGCACCTAGGAGTGGGTGGCCTCTGGCAGGGCTGTGCCACTTCCTGGCATACACCTGGCCATAATGCAGGTAGAGCAGGCAGCACAGGACCAGGCATGTGTGATCACGGACTAGCAGTCTAACTCCAATTCCTATTGGATTCTTCCCATTCCCTCCAGCCCTGGCATTATTCTAGAGTCCAGCTTATGAGGGCCTGCGTGTAGGATTATTACAAAACCCACTAGGGACTTTCTTCTGCATTTGAACAAGATCAAACTGTCTCATGGACTGGGAGATCCTGCCAGTTCATCCTCTCCCTCCTTCCTGAAGGCATCTTGTCCATATACCCTGCCCTCACTTCTGCCAACCTCAGCTGAGGCTTTTTGTCCCTTTATCCCCTTGGCTCTCATTCCTGCCTCAGGGCCTTTGTACTTACCCTTCCCTCTGCCTGAAACACTCTCTGTTAGCTCTCCAGAAGTTTGCTTCTCTTTCCAGGTCTCTTAGAGACACTTTCCCTGGTGCCCTTTCGGAGGACATACCCCATCTCCAGCTACTCTCCCGGGACACCCACCTTGCCCTCTGCACAGGTTGTCTACATGG